TCTCGCTTGTACAACTTGTACAACAACAATGAAACGACGACCGACAACGACAACGACCGCGACAACGACAGGACTCCCTGTCCATCCGTCCGCAGCATCCCGGAAAGCCACCCACACACCACTTGTGATCTGAATTACATCATGTGCTATGGCCGCGGGTTCGTGGGATCCGGCCTGATCGCGCCCTTGCAAAGCTGTGATTTGAGGGTCTGACGCGCAGCTGGGTGAGTGCTTTGAGTGCTTTGAGTGCTTTGAGTGCCTTGAGTGCCTTGCGCAGTCATCAGAGCGAAGGAAAACTTCGCCATCAGCCTCTCCTGACAGTCAACCCCTGCCCATCGCATCCATCATCCGAGATCAGCCACTCCAGGGGCAAGTTTGCCTGTCAGCTCAGTCAGCAGCTACATATATCAGACCTTCCTGCCCCCTCTTCTCGATCCTACTTTCAACGATCACCACATCAACCACAGTACTTCTTCAACAAGACCCAAGAAGACACACTCACATACACACACACACACAACATGTCAAATTCAGAATACTACGGAGGCGGCCATCAACAAGGAGGCAGCTACGGACATCAACATCAAGGCTATGGCCAACATCACTCCCAAAATCACTCCCCGTATCCTCCCCAACCCAACTATGCTCAGCCCCAGCACTCCCCATACCCTCCTCAACCCAACTATGCCACTCCCCCTCCTCATCACCAAGGCTACGCCGCTTCTCATTCGCCGTACCCGGCTCAGGGTCATGCGCAATACCCCGCCCACTCCCCGGCACCAGGAGGAGGTTCGGCCTACGCCGGCTCGCACGCCCCCCAACCTCCGTACGCCGACACCCGCCAGCAGGGACCACAGTACCCCGGCTCGCACGCGCAGCCGACCGGACCGAACGGAGGTGAGCGTGGTCTCGGTGCGACCCTGATCGGCAGCACGGGCGGGGGCTACCTCGCGCACAAGGCCGGCGGCGGGGTCCTGGGCACGCTCGTCGGCGGCATCGCCGGCGCCGTCGGGGCCAACATGCTGGACAGCAAGCACAAGAAGAAGAAGAAGGAGAAGAAGCAGAAGAAGCTGGCCGCGGGGGGCATGCTGTTCCCGGGGGGCCACGGCCATCACGGCCGGTCCCGGAGTCGCGGCGGGGGGAGCTCGAGCTCGAGCGATAGCGATTAGGTGAGCCTGGGTCCTGGGATCGGGGCGGACGGGGTCGATGCAAGGCGACGGACGGGGTGGTTCTTGGGTGGAGGTTTTCATTTTTTGTTCTTTTGTTCTTCTCTCTCTGGGGGATTCTTTCAGGGCGCCATGAATTAAACGGGGCTCGCGCAACTTGGAGTTCTGGGGAAACGGGGCTTGAAGAGACTGGCGCGTAACTATACTTACTTACGGCCCTGTAATCTCTAAACACCTACCTATCGCACAGCCAGCCCTTTTCCCGCACGCAAGCACGCATACCTACTGTACATCAACATCAACATCAACATCAACATCAACATGAAATGAATGCACAAACCAATAATGCATCTCGACTCGTCTGCAGCAGCAATGCTACACGATGGGATACAATGGAGTGCGGTAGAGTAGAGTGGAATAGAATAGAATAAATCCTTCTATCTATTCTACTAAACCCTTCGCTTATGTTAGCTTAACTAAACTAAATCAACATCTCGCGTCTTGCGTTTTCCTTTATCTGCATCCAGCTACGTATCCAACTACGGTATCCATCCACTCATCCAACCACCCACCTACCGGGTATCCATCCCTTCCACCCTCCCCACCCCTCCCTACCCCACCATCCAATCGCTCAACCCCCTAGCCAGAAAACCTCGCCCATCCAAACGCTAACGAATCCACCGGTACCGTACCCATCTACCTACTACAGTACTATAGGTAGTACAGTACTACAGTACCGGTACTACGGTAGCCAGCCAGCCACACGCCTCGGCAGTATTGCCCTTCGTAAGAATACGGTAAGTACCTTATTAATGAGTAGCTGTAAGATTACTTCTTCTTCTTGTCTACCTACCGGTACCGGTCCTTTGAAGCGGTTCTTATCTACTTAATAGTGGTAAGCCTTGACGTCGCAACTTTTAAGGCCTTTCCTTAAGTTAAAGTGAGCGATAAAAATCATGTCTCGCTTCAAGCTTCAGCGTAAAACAAAAACGGCGAAAAACGTTGATTATCTGATATAATATTTTCC